CACTCGACCGGCGGCGGGGGGAGAGGTAGAAATCAATTGAAATCAAAGCGGCGACGAGCTGAGCGCCGCCAGGGCTGGGAGCCGCTTTCCTGCCGCGGGGTTTGGGAGGGGGATGAGGGCTGTTTTGTTTCTGTCGTGCCCCCCCCGCCCTGTCTTGCTTAGATCTCTGCTTTTCTCTCTCGGAGGTGCATCGACCAGAAATTCAAGCGGTGCCCCCCCCTGCCCACCACCAGCGTCGTCATCGTCTTCCATAATGAAGCTTGGTCGACGCTGCTGCGGACGGTGTACAGCGTCCTGCACACCTCCCCGGCCCTCCTGCTGAAGGAGATCATCTTGGTGGACGATGCCAGCACGGATGGTGGGTGGGAGCCGTGGCGGGCTGCGGGAGCTGTGGTGGAATGCGGGAGCCAGCGGGATGCAGGGACCAGAGGGATGCAGGGAGATGCCGAGCATTTTTCCATCCCTGGGAGCAGCAGTTCTGAGCCACTTGGAGAAGCAGCTCATGCCAAGTCTCCGAGCACCCCGGGATGCATCCAACAGTTCTTCCCCGTTGTTTCGCATCCACCTGGGAGCTCCGTCGGGGTTTTTCCCTTCTCCGGCACTGCTGTTAACCCAGCCCTGGATTAAAACCGGGCGCTCCTCCCACACCCTGCAAATACCTCGTCCGCCGGCCAGCTTGCCCGCCAGGCTGCAATCCTCATTAGCTACACCCAGAGCAAATTAATGACGTGGTTCAGTGTCGGGGCACTGGAGAGGAGCGGACTTTGCCCTCACCCCAGAGATAAATGCTCCCTTTCTGCTCCCGGTGTCTGCACGGGCTCCCAAGGAGCAGAAACCTCAGGGCAGTGCAGGGGTTTATTGCCTGTGAGCTTGGCTCCTGCTGCGGTGGAGACACGGGTCGGATGCTCGTGAGACTTAGGGTCCCTTCCCAGGACGGGTCTCCGGACATCCCAGCTCTCGCTTGGCCATTCCCAGCTTTTGGCTTGGCTGCATCTGCCAAGGAAGGAGAGAAATCCCAATTTCCCTGGGTGACACCTTGTCAGCTGTCCCTTCCCGCGGTGACGGCTCATTTGCTCGGTCCCGGTGACTCTTTAGCCGCAGGGCACGAGACCTTCTCACCCCGTTGTTCCTCTAATCCCTCTCTGGTGGAGGATTAGACAGGGCGGGTAGCCGGCTCCTTTGCAAAACCCACTTTCTTTAGCCAAAAACCCTCTTGGATTTTGGGGGAAAGGAGGCTCCGTGTCTCCCTGAGCCCATGGCCGGATCCAAACCCAGGTGCGGGGTCTGAGCGGGGGCTCCTGCGAGGGGCAGGAATGGGATGGGGACAGCAGGGTGAGCTGGTGGGGCGCAGGAACCAGCATCTCCCCTCTCTGATGGAGCCAGTTGCTCTTTCCCACCTCCCCCCCAGACTATCTGAAGGACGAGCTGGATCGCTACGTGGAGCAGCTCCAGATCGTGCGAGTCGTGCGGCAGGAGGAGAGGAAAGGGCTGATCACGGCACGGCTGCTGGGGGCCAGCGTGGCCAGCGGGGAGGTCCTGACCTTCCTGGATGCCCACTGTGAGTACCCACCTCCCAGGGGTCCCCAGGGAGCTGGGGCAGGGGTGAAGTTGTCTCCACTCAATGGCCAACCCTTCCCTGTGTCCCAGGCGAGTGTTTTCACGGCTGGCTGGAGCCCCTCTTATCCCGCATCGCCGAAGAGCCCACGGCCGTCGTAAGCCCCGACATCTCCACCATCGATCTCAACACCTTTGAGTTCTCCAAGCCCGTCCAGAACGGCAAACAGCACAGCCGGGGCAACTTCGACTGGAGCCTGACTTTCGGCTGGGAGGTCATCCCGTCCCAGGAGAAGCAGCGGAGGAAGGATGAGACCTTCCCCATCAAGTAAGACATTGCCGGGAGGGATTTTTATCCACTTCGGAGCTGGTGTGATGGTAGCAAAGGTTGGACGAGCGCTGGGAACGCCATGTCCGGACCCAAAGGCTGCAGAATGAACCGGCTGAGCGTGCGTGGCTGCTGCAGGGTGCTTAGGGAGGCACGGCCAGGGGTGCTAAAGAGCTGGGTGCCCTGTGCTGGGAAACTGCCCTTCCTCCAGTCATTTTCACTCCTTTTTCCAACAAATTGGGTTTTTTCCTGTTGGTTTTGGTGCCTCTGGGCGGGCGATGCTGTCCCTTCCCAGAAGAGCTTCCCTTGTGGGATGCTTGGCTTGAGGGATCTTGGGTGGCTTGTGCCCGGGAGAGGATGCTCAGGCACGGTCAGAGCCGTGGGGCTGGCAGAGGAGAAACCTCCCCTGGGGTTTGGCAAATGTGGAGCCATAAAGGACCTTTTGCAAAAACACCTTTGAATTGTCTCCAGCCATCTCTCCGCTCCTGCAAAGTCTCTCGTTAAGGTTTTAATCGCTGTCTTGTATCTTCTCGCTCTTGGATACCCAGCTACCTGGGCGCAGGGTGGGCACCTGTGCTGGCACAGCAGCAAGAATATGTCACCTGTGGATCGGACTGCACCGAAAACCCTATTTTTACCCCCTTATTTTCATGCAGAGGAACCCTGAACAGGTTTTCCTGTTGCACTTTTCCGTTGGTGTCCCACAATAAGCTGGGTGCTCCCACCGGGAGATACCAGACGCCCTGCCTGGCCCCGTCCGCATCCCATCCCCTGGCCGGCGGCAGGGCTGGCTTTGTGCAGAGGTCACCCGGGAGACGTCCCCCTCCCAATAAAGGTCCCTTTTACCACGAGCCGGCGGTTTGGCTCCCGGAGGCGTCTCATCTCCGCTCGGCAGGAACGCAGCGGCTCAGCGAATCCTTTTTTTTTTTTATTTTATTTTTCCTGAATAAAAGCAAGTTTCTGTTCCAGCCTCTTCTAAAGATCAGATGGAAAAGATTAGAGAAGCCGGAGGAGTGAATGGGGCACCGGCCACTGAGCTCTAATCTCCCCCCTTCTTTTCAGTGATAGGTTTTCAGTAACAATATCCCCCTTTCGCTTTGAGTCGAGAGCTGGCAGCAAGGCCCCTCAGTGTCATGCTGCCGCCGCCGCCTCCGTCCCCTCCTGGCAGCTGGGTCTGGCCGCTCTGCCAAAGCCACCACATCTGGGGCACAGCTGGATGGGGCAGGGAGATGGGGGACACAGCTGCAAAGTGCTCACACCCACCATGAGGGCCACGATGTCCCCAAAACTCAGACTTCTGCTTTTCTATTTTTATTTTAACCCTAGTTTTTGCCCCCCTTCTCCCTCCGCTGTAGGTCCCCAACCTTTGCCGGTGGCCTCTTTGCCATCTCCAGGTCCTACTTCGAGCACATCGGCTCCTACGACGATCAGATGGAGATCTGGGGGGGCGAGAACGTGGAAATGTCCTTCAGGGTAAGGATGGGTCGGTGCCATCTTCAAAGGGCGTCTTCAGGGATGCTCCTTGTTGGGGGGCACAGGGGGGGTTGGACCCCCCACATCTCAGGCGTTGCCTCCCCGTAGGTCTGGCAGTGCGGGGGTCAAGTCGAGATCATCCCTTGCTCCGTCGTGGGTCACGTCTTCCGTTCCAAGAGCCCCCACACCTTCCCCAAGGGCACCCAGGTCATCTCCAGGAACCAGGTCCGCCTGGCCGAGGTCTGGATGGACGACTACAAGGAGATCTTCTACAGGAGGAACCAGCAAGCCGCTCAGATGGCCAGAGAGGTACCGGGCACGCCGGCGGGCTTCTGGCTCTCCCAGGGGGGCCTGATCCTGCTGGGAGCTCAAGCCTGAGCAGAGGGAGGAGGTGGGCTCAGCCTGGAGATCGGAAAGCAAATGCAGGTGGAAAGATGTAGCCAAAAAGCGATTTTTTACTTTTTCTATTTGGCCATAATGTTTTCTAGTAGAAAAACATCGATTTTTTTTAAAAAAACTTTTAATATTTTTTTTACAACACCAAAACATCGTGCTGTGATGCCAAAATGTCCCAGCCCTCTCGGTGAGCGGCCAGAGCCCGAGGGTACCTGCCAGGGACTAGGGATGTCTTGCAAGACCCCACCACCGGTCTCGGTCCTGGGCACGCTGTGACGGATGATGACAAAGCCAGGAGGACCCCTCAGCTCTGAGCCCTGGCTCAGGAAGGTTTTTTTGGGTTTTTTCTTGCTGGCTTCAGAGATGAGTTTAATTTTCTCACGTGACTTTGTCGATAGAAGACGTATGGTGACATTACAGACCGGCGCAAGCTGAGGGAGCAGCTCCACTGCAAGAACTTCACCTGGTACCTCCAGACTGTCTACCCCGAGATGTTTGTTCCTGACCTGACTCCAACTTTTTATGGAGCGGTAAGCACGGGGGTGCCCGGAGCATCCCGCTGGGCTCAGTCCTTGGCTAGAAATAGCCACGGCAGTGAAGTCCCCAAAAGGTTGGGTTTGGGGGTTTTGCATTTAAACCAGCGTGCTGGAGGGTTTTGGTGCAGCCGCGTCCGTCACCAGGTCTGTCACTGGCTGGTGGGGCCGGTTTGGGCTCTGGCTGACGGCAAAAGAGCTGGAATCTGGCAGAGCTGGTTTGGGGCGAGTTTACGGGGTGGGGGACCCGCGGGGACGTGGCATCAGGTTAAATCGGGCGAAAGAGCTGAAAGCTTCCACAAGCACCGTGCCGGCATTGGCATGCACAGGATGGACTTGAAAAACCGAGCTGGGAACAGGCAAGATGCAGAGCGCCGGCTCCGTCCCCGAGGATGGAGCTGCCAAAAAAAGCCCCTTTCCTCCAAGCCGGGTGTTGGGGTCTGAGTCCAACCCTCCTCGGCCGGGGCAATGTGAAAGCAGCCGTTGGATGCAGCGAGGGCCGGGCGCTGGCTCCCGTCCAGGTTTTAATTCACCTTTGTTTCCTGAAACCTCGTCCTGGGCGGCTCTCACCTTTGACTCGGTGGGACAGAAGCATTGGTGCGGGCATTCCTCGCGTCCTGGAAAGGACAAGGGACCCGGACACAGCGCCTAGTACCAGGATCGTGTTTGTACAGCAATAATTAAAGTGCCCCGCAAAGCCCAAACCCAAGGCGGGTCCCTACCCCGAGCCCTCGGAGCCCAGCTCACCCCCCTGCCCCTTTCGTCCCCCGTCCCCCGCAGATAAAAAACGAGGGCACCAAGAGCTGCCTGGACGTCGGTGAGAACAACCACGGTGGGAAACCACTCATCATGTACCCCTGCCACGGGATGGGGGGCAACCAGGTGGGCACCCATCAACCCCCAGCATTTTCCCCTCCTGCAACCCCCCTGTTTTTCCCCTGGGGGTTAGTTTCTCAGGGCACGGCAGCATGACGTCCCCTCTCTGGTCTTGCCCCCCAGTATTTTGAGTACACAAGCCAGCGGGAGCTGCGGCACAACATCGGGAAGGAGCTCTGCCTGCGGGCGGGCGCGGGGCCTTTGACTGCCAGTACCGAGGGAAGCCTGGCCGGGTGCCAGCCAGCGAGGAGTGGGACCTGGCGCAGGTGAGGAGATGCATCTCCACCCCAGGAATCACCCAAGGGGATGGTGGCATCATCCCCACCACGATGATGCTTCTCTGCTGCTTCCCCTCAGTCTCATCCTTTCTTCATCCCACCGGGTATCGCTGATGCCATCTTTATTTTCGGCAGGATCGGCTGATTAAAAACCCAGCCTCCGGTACGTGCTTGACGGCACGAGGGAAGCACCCGGCGATGGTTCCCTGCGACCCAGTGGACCCCCACCAGCTCTGGTCCTTCACCTAGGCGGGGAGCAGAGTGGCCCGAGCCCCCGGCCATCCCCAACCGCGCTCAGGAAACCAG